AACCAACCAACCAACCAACCAACCAACCAACCAACCAACCATCCATCCATCCATCCATCCATCCATCCATCCATCCATCCATTCATTCATTCATGCGACCAACCATTCATTCATTCATTCATTCATTCATTCATTCATTCATCCATCTGACTGACCGACCGACCAACCAACCATCCATCTGACCAACCGACTGACCGACCGACCAACCAACCAACCAAGCAACCGACCAACCAACCAACCATCTGACCAACCAACCAACCAACCAACCATCCATCTGACCAACCAACCATCTATTCATCCAACCAGCCAACCAACCATCCATTTATTCATTCATCCGACCGACCAACCAACTATTCGACCGACTGACCAACCAACCATTCATACATCCTTCCATGTTTTAATGTCACGTAAGGTTCTTGTGGACCTTTATACATCACATCACATCACATCACATCACATCACATCACAGTTTAGAACCTGTATTTATGCAGATTTCATGAATCAGGTCTTCACATTCAGTTGTTTATAAGAACCTGTTCTGTTTTCATTGATCAGGTTGATTTTGTTTTGTTTCTCAGGGGAATAACTTCCGTCGGGAATACATCGCCACCCAGGGCCCTCTGCCGGGAACAAAGGATGATTTCTGGAAGATGGTTTGGGAGCAGAACGTCCACAACGTGGTGATGGTCACCCAGTGTGTGGAGAAAGGCCGGGTGAGACAGGACATGTATTCAGTGGGTCCGAAACTGCAGAGTTTCTGGAACCTGAACCTCGTCAGTAGGATTCTGATGTTCATTTTCCTCTTCGTACAGGTGAAGTGTGATCACTACTGGCCCTTTGATCAGGATCCTCTGTACTACGGAGACCTGATAGTCCAGATGCTGTCAGAGTCGGTTCTGCCAGAGTGGACGATCCGGGAGTTCAGAATCTGCAGCGTACGTTTTCTGATTATTAAACTGTCTGAAAGACTGGATTATTAAAAGTGTCAAAAGCAGAATAAGATGGTCCTAGATCAGTTTTTATGTCCCTGTGTGTTCAGGAGGAGCAGCTGAGCTTCAGCCGCCTTGTTCGGCAGTTTCACTACACAGTCTGGCCCGACCATGGAGTCCCAGAGAACACCCGGTCTCTCATCCAGTTCGTCCGAACAGTCCGAGACTACATCAACAGGACTCCTGGTTCTGGTCCCACCGTGGTCCACTGCAGGTAAAGAACGTTCTCAAGTTAAAGAGCAGCTGTTTATCCAAATCCACTGACCAATCAGAGCCGAGGAGAAAACAAACTTCTACAAAAAAGGTTCCTCAGTGAATTAGACGTTCTTTGACTGGAGTCTGGTGTTTCAGTGCCGGCGTGGGCCGCACCGGAACCTTCATCGTCTTGGATCGAGTCCTGCAGCAACTCGACAACAGGGATGCGCTAGACATCTACGGCGCCGTTTTTGACCTGCGGCTGCATCGATCGCACATGGTGCAAACTGAGGTAGGACTGATGCATCATGGGAACGTGTGTGTCATCTCAAGTGTGTGTGTGTAGCAGCATCTCAAGGTCTCAGTCAGCAGATTTCAGAATTGTTTTGGTAACAGGCTCCTCCTTCCCCACCAGGGTCAGTACCTGTACCTGCACCAGTGTGTCCGGGACGTCCTGAGAGCCCGGAAGCTGCGCAGCGAGCAGGAAAACCACCCGGTCCTCCTGAGAATGTGAAGTCCCGGCAGGAGGTGAGTCACCCTGCATCTCATCAGCCACCAGCAGATCTGCCCATCACAAGTATCAACAAAGAGACGCTGCGATCGTACCGACTGCAGAGAGACGACAGAGAAACAACAATTTATTTTTTTATCAGTGTTTATATTTTAATCTGCAGATAATTTATGTAGCATGTGACCCATGTGTGTGTCTGTTGTTGTACACGATGTTTCTGCTGTTTCATGAGACTGAACAGTTTGATCGGCTCCGATCAATATAGCAGGACCGAATCGTCGTCTAACACATGAGGAGGAACAGCAGCTCCTGTATGTTACCTGTTGTTCTACCTGTACCTGTCTGTCTGTTAACATTAAACACACAACACCTGTACAACACACCTGATCTCTGTGATTATTGATCTAGGCTTGCACAAACACAAAATACTACAGTAACTAAAACAACACAAAAGCACAGAAACACAAAACTACAATAAGACAAAAATGCACCAACAAAAACCACAATTAGTGTGTTGTCTTGTTGCGTATTTATGTGTTTTATGGGATAACTCTTGTGCCAGCAGGAAATTAATTTGAATTGCTCAGATTGAATCTGAATGTGCATAATTTGAAATAGAATGCATTGGTTTGAAAATGAATTTTACTAAATTGAAACTGAATTTAAGTTTTAAATTTGAATTAATTTACTTTGAAACTGTATTTTGGTTTATTAAAAATTCAGTTTGACTACTTTCACTTTCAGCTCCATAATTCAGATGTTTGTGTCACATCCTGGTCCTTGAGAAAGCCAGGCAGAGTAATCAAACACAGATCCACAGATTTATGTTTCACTTTGGTGAAGTTTCCCTTCTGGATGTAACTGAGTTGATGCAATCCACTGTAAAAGTGACAAAAACACACAAAGTTATTTTATTGCAGTAATTAATTTGACCTATATGTAGAAAATGTTACATTTACATGATGACATCATGGATCAGTCAGCAGCAGCATCTGATCAATATATGATCCATGATGTCATCATGTAAATGTAACATTTTCTACATATAGGTCAAATTAATCACTTCAATAAAATAACTTTGTGTGTTTTTGTCACTTTTACAGTGGATTGCATCAACTCTGTTACATCCAGAAGGGAAACTTCACCAAAGTGAAACATAAATCTGTGGATCTGTGTTTGATTACTCTGCCTGGCTTTCTCAAGGACCAGGATGTGACACAAAAATCTGAATTATGGAACTGAAATTGAAAGTAGTCAAACTGAATTTTTAATAAACCAAAATACAGTTTCAAATCAAATTAATTCAGATACAAAACTTTAAATTCAGTTTCAAATTCTGCACATTCAGATTCAAGTTCAGTTCCTGCTGGCACAAGATTTATCCCATATGGGGGTATAGTTGTTGTGAGTTTGTTTGTTTGTGTTTTGTTTGTGCATGTTTTGTGTGTTGTCTTGTCGTGTGTTTGTGTCTGTTTTGCGTGTTGTTGTGGGTCTGCTGTCCGGAGCCCCACTCTGGCCGCCGCGCATGCGCAGAGCGCAGGCTGAAGTGTCGGAAGTTGCGGTAGCAGCTCGCAGTGATTTTTAGCCCCACAGCCAGCGAGCGAACAAAACTTTGTTTTCTCCCAGAAAAAGTGCTTTCGGACGAAACTCCGGAGCTTTCAGTGAACCGCGGAGGACCGCAGATGGATTCTAATCGGTTCGGACCGTTTACTTTCGGCGAAGAGCGGCTTTAAGAGCGTTTTGAAGAAGTTGTGATTGTTTTTTTGGCGCTCCAGCAGCGCAGAGGAAACATGGAGGATCTGCTGCTGTAGCAGCCGCTAACGATAGCTGAACGCCTGGATTCACGGACTGATCCGAGCCGCTCCTTTGCCTGCTGGACGTCCCGAAAGTTCGGATGATAGAAGTAGTCAACACGCCGACCGAGCCTGGTGAGTATGGGCTGATGGAGCCACACGGTTGCGGCTGTGTGGGGAAAGGTAGCGGGCGGAGCGCTACTTGTAGCCGCGGAGGTGAAGCTCCAATCCGCGTTAGCTGCTGCTGCTAACTAGCTGATGCTAAGTAGCCGCTGCTAACTAGCTGCCATTATAGCAACATCACTGAGAAGTTTGTGACCTGAACACCCAAATTAACTGCTCAATCTGCGGGTTACATGTGGTTATCACAGATTAGTTAACTAGTTAATCTGGTTAATAAAGTGAGCGCGCTCACTTTGCGTGCACGCGCACGGAGAAATGATTGATGTATTTTCTCATAAATCAAAGCTGTCAGTGTTGCTCAGATGATGATGGTATTTATGGGCTGCTGTTTGTAAAGTTACAGTCAAAATTACCACCAATATTTTTGTTTGATTTCACCTTTTATAAGAAAAACAAGAACAGATTTATTTTTCAAAGTCAGTTTTTCACCATATGATTCATACATTTATAAATGTCATAGTTTATAAACTAAATATTTAACTTACAAATTAAATATTTTATTAAAAAGCTAAATATTTAGCTTGAAACTTAAATATTTAGCTAGCCACCTAAATATTTAGGTAGCTAGCTAAATATTATTGAAGTTAAATATTTAGGTAGGTAGGTAGATAAATATTTAAGTTGAAACCTAAATATTTAAGTTGAAACCTAAATATTTAAGTTTCAAGCTAAATATCTAGCTCAAAACTAAATATTTAAGTCACAAGTTAAATATTTAGCTTTTTAACTAAATATTTAATTTTTAAGTTAAATATTTAGTTTATAAACTATGACATTTATAAATGTATGAATCATATGGTGAAAAACTGACTTTGAAAAATAAATCTGTTCTTTTTCTTATAAAAGGTTAAATAAACAAAAATATGGGTGGTAATTTTTGACTGTGTAACTTTACAAACTCCATAACTATTTGATAAATTACTAAGTAATGGAGTCATCCTCACATGAGAGTGATGTCACCACAATATGATAAACATTTAGCTGTTTGTGGAAATATGACAGATTTTCACTTTTATTTTCTTTTTACGTAAGGATTAGTAGGAAACTTTTTATTAAGCATCTTTCACAGGATTAAAAATTGAAAAATGTAAAACAAATGTGCATAAAACCTAAAGACAGATAAAAGAGCACAAATCTAAACAAAAATACTTTTTCATTGTTAAAAATAAAATGTTTATATATTTATATAAGAGCTTGTACCTAGTTAAAATCCTGTCTAAACTGATTTTTAAATTAATTGATTGAACAATAAGTGATTTAATGAGTCCTCATGAGTCAAGTCTAATTAGGTGTTCAGGATTCAGGGACGGGCATAAAAATGATAAATATTAATTTATGTTTGCTTCATTATATTAGTGCAACTTAATGTGTCGCCAGTTTCAAATAGTTTCGTTTTAAAAGATTACAGGATTATCTAAGATTATAATCTGTTGGAACAAACAATATTTTAAACACAAAAGAAAACCAGCGCTAACAAGTCAAGGTTGTTTATTTTATTTTATTAAAACCACAAAGATTCCAGTGAGCTTCATCATCTCATCTTCCAGGAAGTCAAGATGATTGTTTAAATATGAATTTAAATAAAACGCAGCAGTTTATTTACTAATGAGATCAAATTTAATGTCAGTACATTATAATCTGGAATATTTTGAAGTGGACCTCTCTGCAGGGTGCAGACGTGTCTTCATAAAGATAAATTTTGGTTTTAGTTGTCTGGATATTTACAGGAAAAAAAACAGTTTGAAAAATTATTTGTGTCCAAACTGCTCCTCATCCCTTTCTTTAAAATAAACAGTCTGAAGAGTCTGAAAATATTTGATTTATTTTAATGTTAATT